TTTTTTTTCATCTAGTAGAAAGTGGCAATAAATTACCAATATTAAAAGCTGAAAAAGTTGTTTTTTGCACAAATGAAGTGGTTCTTATGTTGCTTTGTTTTGTTTAGTTTAGTCTAAAACACCGTCTGACTTAATTAGAATATATATTTTTTAGTTTACACAACGTTTAACATCAATAGCTTTTCATGCAATGTTACTAACATGATGGTTTGTTTTTTGTGTTAGGTCATGAGCCTGTCACCAGCACCGCTTTCCTTGTTGATCAAAGCAGCTCCTATCCTAACTGATGACATGTATGGAGATGTTCAACCAGCAGCCTGGGAGCTGCTGCTCAGTGTGGATGAACATATGGCAGCTGCTGCAGGTCGGTCTGACTGTATCAGTGCTTTCTTTTCAGTGCTGAGCAATAGTGGCACGTTGGCGAATTAAACTTCCACATCCAAACTTAATCGTCACATTTATTTAACTGCTCTTTCTCACCCCTTTATCCAGCGGCCATGTTCCTCCTCTGTGCGGTAAAGGTGCCAGATGCAGTGACTGAAATGATGATGGCAGAGTTCCAGCACCAGGAGGCATGTCAACGCATCAACTCCATCCTGAAATTTTATACACTCTGGAGGTTCCGCTACCAGGTTTGGCCCCGCATGGAAGAAGGAGCACAGCAGATTTTTAAGGTACATAAATAAAATACTAATAACAAAAAATGAGAATTCAGGATCTCAAAATGATTTAACTTGCTACATTCTTTCCTGGGTCTCCTTCATTTCAGATTCCTCCTCCCAGCATCAACTTCACCCTGCCATCTCCAATCCTAGGCATGCCCTGTGTTCCCATATTTGATCCTCCCTGGGTGCCACAGAACACTGGCAGTGTCCAGGACCCTATTAATGAAGACCAGTCTGTAAGTCTGATTTGATTTATTTATTTATTGTAACATTATTTATTTATTCATTGTAACATTATTAACAAATAAAAAACAAATTAGGAGTTGAATTAGGACTAGTGATTTGTATCAGTTTTGAATTACTGTATTTCATGGGAATTAATTACAATTAAAAAAAGTGATGAAAATCCCAATGGCTGTCAGTTCTAGTTGGGCTCAGGGCTCTAGTTCTCACCCAATGGCTGTCAGTTCTAGTTGGGCTGTGGTGTTGGCTCAACAGTCTGTTGGACCCTTGCTTAGGAGCAGGGGCTTCATCCCTCTTTCTTTAATAAGACAAGAGACAGGGATTGTGGAGTTCTGGGCAGCGGCAAAGACAAAATTCAAGTAGAGGGCCCTGTAAAGCCTACACCTTGCAGCTCATATTTTAGGTGCTTATGAATCACATTAGAAAGGGCTTGTATGTAGTTGAGCCCTTTTTCTATGAAATACAGTATATATAATGTTTGTAATCCAGATGTTTTACCTTTAGTTTTAAAGTACAAAAACAGCTGAGGTATTCTGCAACAAAGTTTGATGCCTATTGTTCCAAGTAAAATAGAATTGTCCAGTTTAAACTAGATTGCCACAATGGGAACAGCTGCCAAAATCTTGAGAAATGTACAGAACCTGAAACACATATAGAACACTTTGCATTAAAATAATTAAATACTTTTGTCCCTCATTGCAAACCTGTAGTGATAGGAGAGACTTTACCAAGACCAATGAAGAAATTTTTTTTTTAAAATAGTTGTGGTTTCTTATGTTTCCTTATATTTTTTCTTTTTATGTTTAAACATTTGTTATAGTTGTGTGCAATTATCCTAAAGCCTTTTTTTATGTTTTACCGTTAAAGACCCTAATCTACTATAAATGCTCAAATATATTGTCCAGGAATAGTATGTAAAAAGGTGTCTTCTCAATGATGAAGTTTTGTTCCCAGTCCCTGAAGCTGCCATTTTTTTGTCCCTATAGTTTTGTTTTTTTTTCTATTTGCGTTTAACATTAAAATGAGTAAATAACCTAAAACACTATTTTATTATTGTATTTTCTGAAAAATTCAAATGAAATGCCAGTCCAAGAACTACCCCTAAAACTACTAATGTCACCCTGTACTTGTGTGGAGATTCTTGTGGTAATGCTGTATCTCACCACAGTATGTCTGACATCATCACAAAGTAAATCAAGAGAAGGATTCAGGGACAAACAGAATTTTTTTTTTTGATATTGGTCTGTCAGCTGAGGTTACAGTCAACTCTAAGTAGTGTCACCAAGCAGTACTATCTGTAAAAGAGCGTAAAGCAATGGATTTGAATTCTAGAACAAAAATGATCTAAACGTTAGTAATCTTTCTTTTTTTAAAGTTGTACTTAAACAATTACAATTACTACACAATTTCTAGGTAAATCATAAAAAACAGGTATTTAAGGACTAATGCACACCACTGTGTCTGAACTTTAATTTTAAAGGTTGTAATGACGACCTGCAAGCACATGTTCTATAATTTTTCTGTCGACTGTTTTTGTTTTTAGTACTCCACATTAATTCAGTCAGTCCATACCATAGTAAGTTGGTATTTCTGTCTGAAAGTGTGTGTGCTGATGCATCTTGTTATCTCAGGTCAATCAATGTTCTTTGGGCTATAATTTGAATGATTTCTAAATCATGATCCATTTTCATGGTCCATTTCAAATCACAAGAATCTTTTTCTGCACTCCCGAAACAGAAAAAGATAAGAAATAGAGAATAAAATAACAGCATGCATTGGACATTCAGACATTTATTTCGTGCGTGTTGTGATCTTGATGCATGGTCATTATATGAGAATGACTTTGCTTTGTATGTTATCTCCACATCAGAGAGATATGTATGTGTATGAGCACTTGTGGGAATGCTGTGAGGCATTTACTGTGCACAAGATACAGTAAATTCTCCAAAGTCCAGTCTGAACCCATTTATTTTTGTCCCAATCCTTCACTCACGATGCTCGGGATGGAAACAGAGCATGAGATAAATGTGCTGGAAGAGAGTTACTGTATTCACGTGTGCAGTTGTTTCACATTTAAAACAGAAATGCTCCTCACATGTAGCTGTAAGCACTAGAATAGAAACTGTCAGTTTGGAATAAAACTGTTTTTCCTCGTCCTGAGCCTTCTGTGTGTCTGCGCTGCCAAATTTTGCTGTTTTAGATCCAAACCTATCCTTTTCAGAAATCCTTTTCAGCACGTGCAGTGTCCCGCTCCCACCAGCGAGCTGAGCACATCCTGAAAAACCTGCAGCAAGAGGAAGAGAAGAGGCGCCTGGGCCGTGAGGCCAGCATCATCACCGCCATCCCCGTGGCTCAAGAGGCTTGCTATGAACCAACATGCAGCCCACCACCGGAACAGGAGGAAGAAGGTGTGAATGGGAAGGATGAAACTTTAGCCACTTGTCCGTGTTAGCCAGATATAACCGACAAACTAAACATCGCAGCACTAATACCTGCATGTGGGCTACTTATGACCTGTTCAGAAAGTCACAGCTATTTATGGGCTCAGTGAAATGCCTAATGTGGCACAGTTGGGCCACTATCGCTTTTTTACCCAGTTGGTGTTCTGTTTCTTTTAAAATTATTTGAAGATGTTCACATCGACCTTATATGTGATTGAAAACTTCCAGTGGATGTTTAGCACATTTGACACTTTCATTTTCCCCAAATATAATGTTAAAAAATAACAGGTAACGGCACAATTGATGACGCACTTCTTTTGTATTTTGCGCGACATTTCAAAAGTTAGCCCTCTATTTCATTTAGGACATATAAAAGCCAGAAAGTTCCTCCCTGTTCCAGATGTGACCCAGAGTTTCATGATTTAATTGGTTTAGTTTAACCGAAATCTTTACTGCATTTACCTGACAGCATATTGTTTATTATCCCGATATGTCCTGGCCCTGTCCAACATTGATCCCGTCAGCAGAAGAAGTGGTGAACCTGGCATCCCGCCGCCTGTCCGTCAGCCCATCTTGTGCCTCCAGCAACTCCCACAGGAACTACTCTTTCCGTCGGGGGTCAGTTTGGTCAGTGCGTTCACTGGCCAGTGCTGAGGGTATGTCAACACAGACGGGAAACTTTACTAGAAACTTCACTTTCCTTTGTTTCACGTTTTTATTTATGTGTGTGTGCATATTTTAAGATGAAGAAAACACAACAGAACACACTCCTACTCACCACATGCTCCAGCCTCCACAAGCAGTCTTCCCAGCATGCATCTGTGCAGCTGTTCTACCTATAGTGCACCTCATGGAGGATGGAGAGGTGCGAGAGGACGGTGTGGCTGGTAGGTTGCATTTAATACAAGAAATTATAAGGTGATGGCTAAGTGTTTATTCTATTAAATAAACTTGTTTTGTTTGTTTTTAGACATTATTCTGTGTTTTTTTGTTTATTTAGTGAGTGCTGTTGCACAGCAAATTCTTTGGAACTGCCTGATCGAGGATCCAGCCCTGGTTCTCCGTCACTTCCTGGAGAAACTGACAGTCAGCAACAGACAGGTTGGCAAACATCTGAGGAACACATACTAAATAAATCAAGCTCTATAAAGAGGCACAGTGTTAATTTTGTGTCCCATGTGTCTTCAGGATGAGTTGATGTACATGCTGAGGAAGCTGCTACTCAACATTGGAGATCTGCCTGCCCAAACGTCTCACATTCTCTTCAACTACCTGGTGATGCAAAAAAAGATTTGTTTTGTTTTACTTTTAACAATTTTAACAATATCTTTTGTGAGAATGATTAAAAATGTAGTCTCTGTGAGGAATTGTTGGCAATTTGTAGTATTTTTGGCAAAATCTTCCTTTTTAATGTGCCCTAACTACTTTATACAGTATTTTCTCATTTTAATTTTTTTTTAACATTTAAAAATGTGGGTCCTGTTCATCTCCTTTTCTTAGGTGGGGCTGATCATGTACTTTGTACGCACACCCTGTGAGTGGGGTATGGACGCTATCTCTGCCACACTGACCTTCCTGTGGGAGGTGGTGGGGTACGTGGAGGGGCTCTTCTTTAAGGACCTAAAGCAGACCATGAAGAAGGAGCAGTGTGAGGTCAAACTTCTGGTCACCGCATCTATGCCAGGTGAAATACACAAAGCAATGTTAAATGGACTATTATTAGATTTAATAATGACAAACACAAGTTATGCATCTGTGGCTCCGTATATTTGTAATAATTTACTTTAACTGAACATTACATGATGCAGGAACCAAAACCCTAGTGGTCCATGGACAGAATGAGTGTGACATCCCTACACAGCTTCCTGTTCATGAAGACACTCAGTTTGAAGCCCTTCTGAAGGTAGCTTCACCAAGCTTTGTCATTTACTAGAAATCTGTTGTTGGTTATCAGAGAATGCTTTGACATCTGTGGTGTGGTACAAAGATCTATCTTTGATTGTCATAGTTTAAAGAAGCCTGTGTAAATAATATGAGAGAAGTGTAAAATGTTCAAATTGTTTAAGGTTTTGCCTGAAACTAAAATACAGTATACTCAACATTACTGCTTTCTTGTAATTAGCAGAAACTGAAGCTTGCAGAGTGTTAGATCAAGGGGTAACCATGTCATTTCTAGCTACAGTACTATCTTCGGAAAGGCAGTAGATTATATTCCGTCCTCTTGAGATACTAGACTATCTTGACTTGATTATTTTGAAAAGTAGAAAAATAAATCCAGGGTGCTAATAGCTATGTCCCCACTGCCAATACAAATTACAGTATATTCCATAAACAAATAATAAATCCTCCCCTTTAGAAATCATGTTGTGATTTTCTGTGTCCCCTTTTGCTCTACAGGAGTGTCTTGAATTTTTCAACATCCCTGAGGCCAGATCAGCCCACTACTTCCTCATGGACAAACGATGGAACCTCATCCATTATTCCAAGGTGGAAAAGTCAACACTCTATTGCTTTTTAGGGATTAGTTGAGCTGCAGTAAATAACATATGGATCCTGTTGACCTCTTACAGACGTATGTCAGAGACATCTATCCGTTCCGAAGGTCGGTCTCTCCTCAGCTCAACCTGGTCCACATGCTACCTGAGAAAGGACAAGAACTTATTCAGAAACAGGTAGACAAATTAAAAGAAAAACAAAATTCAGTGAAATTTATTTGGTAGCTTCAATCGTTTTCTTTTTTGTGGTTTTTCCTCTCTTTTTTAGGTGTTTTCCCGTAAACTGGAGGAGGTCGGTCGTGTCCTGTTTCTCATCTCCCTCACACAACACATGCCAGCCGTGCACAAACAATCCCACGTCTCGCTCCTCCAGGAGGACCTGCTGCGCCTGCCTTCTTTCCCACGAACCGCTATCGACGCAGAGTTCTCTTTGTTCAATGAACCACAAGGTGAAGAAAACTCTTGCTGACCTTCACAGATTCCTTTTTCTCTCATATTTTTCGTTAAGCCCTCCATTTTCCTCTAAACCTTTTCAGGTAAGGAGTTGTTTGGACTGGACACACTCCACAAAGTCCTGTGGATCAAGCTTTTGGAGGAGATGTTTCTGGGCATGCCCAGTGAGTACCCATGGGGTGATGAGATGATGCTGTTCCTCAATGTCTTCAATGGCGCGCTGCTATTGCATCCAGAGGACAGCTCCCTCCTCAGGCAGTACACAGCTACTGCCATCAACACTGCTGTGCATTTTAACCATCTCTTCTCCCTGAGTGGTTATCAGTGGATCCTACCAACGATGCTGCAGGTACACATACTACAGTTACAAGAAAAAGTATATGAACCCATTGACTTACTTGGATTTCTGCATAAATTGGTCATAAAATCTGTTCTTATATGGGATGTCCGATATTAACTTTTTGCCGATATCCAATATGTTGATATTGTCCAAACACTCAATTTCCGATTCTAATATCAATTTCTACCGATGTAGACCTGGTAATAAAAACCTGATAATGATTCTTACAGATATGACCTAATATGTTAATATCAGTCCGATAATGTCGGTCGGCCGATATTATCGGACATTTGTAGTTAAAGTCACAGTTACTGGCTGTTAAAAGCATACCGCTGTGGAGGATGAAAAATTAATAAATAAAAAACAAACTAAAAACAAACATGACAATGAAAAGAAACACAATGAGAAGGTGAAGTGAAAATTAGATTTTGAACCTAACCCTTAAATCCCTTTAACAGGTGTATGCAGACTACGAGAGCAACCCTCTACTAAGACAGGGCATCGAGTTCTGCTGCAGGCAGTTCTACATCCTTCACAGAAAACCCTTCATCCTCCAGCTCTTTGCCAGTGTGGCTCCTCTGCTGGAATTCACAGTAAGGAGCAGACACAAGAATTTGTTTGTTTTTTGATGCAGGAAGCCATCACTAATATGCGTTCATCTCTTTTGCTTTGTCTCACAGACCAGCACCAGCACTGGTCTGTCTAAAGGAGTCTCAGCCCAGTGTCTGTTTGACCTGCTGGTCTCTCTAGAGAGTGAGACTCAGGACACCCTGGACGCCCTGGAGCTGGTCAAAGCAGAGAAACCACTGCGATCGCTGGGTAATTTCACAATATATAACATTTCCAAGTAAAAAGTTGTCAGGGTTTCTAAAAAATAATGTATGGCTTTACCAGATTTCTGTTATGGAAACGAGGACCTTGCCTTTTCCATCAGTGAGGCCATCAAACTGTGTGTGACTGTGGTAGCCTACGCCCCTGAGTCCTTCAGGAGGTGAGCATAAACCTGATTAAGAATAATTTCTACATTACATACATACATTCTGATTACTAATTGTTCTGTCCTAAAAGTCTCCAGATGCTCATGGTTCTGGAGGCCTTGGTTCCTTGCTTCCTCCAGAGACTGAAGAGCAACACAGAGACGATGGAATCTGCCTCGGCTGCTAGAGACGAGATAGCAGCCATTGCTGCCCTTGCTACGTCACTGCAGGCGCTTCTATACAGCTCAGAGTCTTTAACAAGGTGGTAGCACCACGAATTTCTGTCTGATGACTTCTTTGAAATGACCTCTGGTATATTCATCATCTCCAAATGTCCACAACAGGCCCATGACAGCTCCACAGATGTCCCGCTGTGATCAAGGCCATAAGGGAGGAACTACAGCTAACCACACCATCTCAGGAGGTGTCAACACCAGGTCAGAACCTCAGACCTTGTGATTTGCACACTCTTCTCCAGTCAGAGTCGTCATCCCTATTATTTATTTATTTTTGTACAAACCCAGAGACAACCTCCACCTCCTGGAAGAGGGACAAGGGATGCCAAGAGAGGAGCTGGATGAACGAATAGCAAGGGAGGAGTTCCGTCGTCCCAGAGAGTCTCTACTGAACATCTGCACTGAGTTCTACAAACACTCTGGACCCAGGCTAAAGATCCTGCAGAATGTTGCTGGCGAGCCAAGGGTAACCGCCCTGGAGCTGCTGGATATCAAGTCTCATATGAGGTCATCAGGTTCACTCCAGTTCAACAACAATTGCTGTTTGTAGAATTAACATAAGATGTTTAAATTTAAACATTTTCTATTGAAAACACTTTGTGGCTTTAACTTTTTGAGTTTTTACCACAATGTTTGTTGTTTTAATCTGATCGTTTTCACTTTCTGTTTTTAGTTCACACTATTTTTACCTTTTGATTGGGACCTTTCACTTAGTTATTTTGACTTTGCATCTCTAAACGTTTTATTGCATTACTTTTACTTTTTAAATTTTGTTTCATTGTTCACTTCAGCCTCTCTTTTTCTTTGCCTTTTTTTTCAATAATTGTGACTTTTCTCATTCAGCTTTTTGAATTTTCCATACTTTTCACTTGTATCTCTATTCTAAATATTGATGTGACTTCTCTTCTTATTTGACTTTCTCTTAAGGAAGAAATTCACTGTTGAATAAACAAATTGATTTATAAAAAAAAAAAATCTGAATTTCACACAAAATGTTAACATTTTCACAGACTTGCAGAAATTGCCCATGCCTTACTAAAGCTGGCGCCTTACGACACCCTGACCATGGAGAGCCGTGGGCTGCGGCGTTACATAATGGAGATGCTGCCCATCACCGACTGGTCTTCAGAGGCCGTTCGCCCTGCCCTCATCCTCATCCTCAAGAGACTGGACCGCATGTTCAACAAGATCCACAAGATGCCCACGCTCAGGTGCGCTCGCCCACAGGCACTGTGCAGCAGGTCTGTTCAATACAATCTCCTACTTTACTTCACGTCTCCCTGTGAGTGTATCGTGCTGTGGCGGTGCCGTGGTGTGTAGAGTAGTCACGTGGCTTCTTGGCACCGTCCGCTGTAGTGCTGCCTCCAGTGGTGATGTACCGTAAGTGCTGCTTTTGTGTTTTTGTGCTGTGCTCGAGTTGAAAGCAAATGGAGTTTTGTGGAGCTGTGTGTACTAACAATGGACTAATTATAACAGTGACTGGAATAATGTATACATATCACACACATACATAAACTTTTATTTGACAACAGCCTCCAAGAAAAATACACAAAACTATCATTAAGTTACATATAACACATTAGTGGCACAATTACATTTTCTCATCCTGCACAATTTTGCACTTTAGGCTGTTTTTTTTGTACATTATTATTATACATGTGAATTAATCTAGACATTTCTTACCTGCCCTATTGCCCCGAGATGGGTCACACCAGTAACTCGTTTTGCCTGAGCATGGCACAAAATCTGGAATTGAGCCACATGAAATTAATATTGTGCAGATTTCACAGGGCTACATCCATTTTGCTGTATAAATGGGAGTCATTTAAAATGACCCACATATCAGGTAGTTATGGTTTTTTTTCAATTACATGTGGCAGGTTTACAGCAAATACACCTACAAGACCAATCGAGTGAGAGCCATGATACATGATACTTTTTCTAATCTAATCGAATGACATGGTTAGAGAAGTTACAGGTATTTCTACCAGAGGTTGGCCACCCGTGTAAGTGAAATGATCACAGTGGCTAAAAGTTAAAACAGGTCAGTATAATTGTTATAGGCTCAGCCTTGAAAAAACAAATGCATAAACTTGCCATAAAACAATTCCATTAAATTAGCCCAACAGCAGTAACATTGTAAATCTGACCTTGTGAGTGCCACCGGTCCACATCATATTTTGGGCCAAAGGTAAGTGTGAGACAAGCCAGATATTGGCTACAAAGATTTTACTGTTAGGATATACAGTGTTTTTAATTGTTGTGAGACTACAAATTCTGATATCATATAATTCCAGGGTGTCAGCTTCCCCCAGCATTCATTGCTGTGTTTTAATGAGCTGTGAGCCGCCAGTATTAGATCAACATTGAGCTGATGTGAAAGTGAGAGAAAATCTAGAAGTGACTCACTGTATTAAGTGTTTTTTGAAAAAAAAAAAAAGAAATTTGAGATGTGAATGCGGTTGTAGGTTTATTGAGTTTTTGTTTTTTTTTCATTAATGACAAATTGTGATTTGTTTCATTGGTGTGTGTTGCTCTGCATGGCTGTGTGTTCTCCAGGAGACAGGTAGAGTGGGAGGCAGCCAGTAACCTGATCGAGGGCATTTGTCTGACGCTGCAGCGACAGCCAATCATTTCCTTCCTCCCGCACCTTCGCTCGCTAATCAATGTCTGCGTTAATCTGGTATGGAAGTTGGTCTTGGAATTTTTTTTATATAGCCATGATGATCTCCACTGTTTAATGTGTTGTTTTTATCCCTAGGTGATGGGTGTGGTGGGTCCCTCCAGTGTGGCTGATGGTCTTCCTCTGCTCCACCTCAGCCCCTACCTCTCTCCTCCACTTCCTTTCAGCACAGCAGTTGTCCGCCTGGTTGCGTTGCAGATTCAGGTTGGACCTATAATACATTTTTTTCTTTACATAACATTGTATTTGAAAATATAATCTAAAACACATTCTCTCTTAAACTAACCTCAGGCTTTGAAGGACGATTTCCCTCTCAGTCATGTGATCTCACCTTTCACAAATCAGGAGAGACGAGAAGGGATGCTGCTGACCCTGCTGATTCCTTTTGTACTGACTGTTGGCTCAGGGAGCAAAGGTAACTTCCATCTGAAATGATACACATAATTCATGAAACCACTTTACCTTTGAGTTATAAATTTATATCAGTGACATATAATATTCATGGGTCAAAGTGTTTTTAGATCCCAATGATAAATTCTAAGCACCAGCCAACACATATTTTGTAATATATATATAAATATGAATTGAAAAAGCCAGTTTTAATGTTGTTTAAACATGTTATGTTCTTTACTTGTCATACTACTTTCACAAGTTAAGAAATTACTACATATGTGGTTATAATCCAGTACCAAAATGTATGTACAGTAAGTGATGATTTTGTATATCTTTTTGTATAGTTTTTCTGGTTTTTAGAAGGTTATGTTGTCATCAAAGACATGCAATTTTTTATGCCTTTTACAAGTTATTGTCCACTTACAGACAGTCCCCATTTGGAGCAGCCGGAGATCTTCTTGCTCCTTCAGACCGTCATCAATATCCTTCTTCCTCCTCGGATTATCTCCACCTCCCGCACCAAGAACTTCATGCTGGACGCGTCACCTGCTCACTGTTCCACTCCGGGTGACACAGGGAAGGATCTGCGCAGAGAAGGTCTTGCAGAGTCCACCAGCCAGGCTGCTTATCTTGGTATGGATTTCTACAGAACAAGGTCAAGAAATGTCCCGTTTCTCTTTTCTTATGATATCTTGTGCTACGATTCTTCAGCTCTGAAGGTGGTGTTGGTTTGCTTTGAGCGATCGTTGGGGAATCAGTGGTACCGTCTTAGTCTGCAGGTGAAAGAGATGGCTCTAAGGAAGGTGGGCGGACTGGCCTTTTGGGATTTCATCGACTTCATTGTCCGGACTCGTATCCCCATTTTCGTCCTGCTGAGACCGTTTATACAGTGCAAGGTAAAGAACTTCACCCAGGTACTTTATAAATATGTCTGATGAGATTGGAGCTAATAATTCAGTCTTTAACTGTTTATTTGACATTATACCTTTTTAGCATCTGTCTGCTTCACTCATCCTTATGTGCTGTTTGTTGTGTGATATGCTGTGAAGCTGTTGACCCAACCAGCTGACTCCCAGGAAGAGATCACAGCCCGCCACCACATTGCTGACCAGCTGGAGCGACGATTCATTCCAAGGCCTCTGTGCAAGAGTTCCCTGTTTGCAGAGTTCAACAATGAGCTCAAGATCCTGAAGGAAGCAGTGCACAGTGGCTCTGGTTCGATGAAACTAGTAGAAAATATCTCTCTCAATGTTACAAATTTGGCTTTGCCTTCATTCTAAGCACTATCTTCACATGTCCGTTTTGTTACAGCCTACCAGGGTAAGACGTCCATCAGCACAGTGGGCACCTCCACGTCGGCCTATCGCCTCAGTCTGGCCACAATGTCTCGCTCCAACACCGGCACGGGCACCGTTTGGGAGCAGGAGAGTCAGCCGTCACGCCAGCCTTCCCAAGACACACTGAGCCGCACCGATGAGGACGAAGAAGAGAGTCAGTCACATTGACAGTTTACAGTTTATGTCAAACCAGCAGGATTAAGACGGAAAGTGACTGTGTTCTGTCATTTTCTCTGTACAGATGATTCCATGAGTATTCCCAGTGTGGTGAGCGAACACGAGGCCTTCCTGCCCAGGGTGATAACAGAGAGGCGTTTCTCCAGCCACGCCACCGGATCAGTGATCTTACAGCCTGCGGCTCCACGGAGCACCATGCTGCCCAGCCACAGGTGACTGCTTCCAGCACCTACAGAAACAAGAACCAATAGGACTCGTCATGACATTCCTTTACATTCATGAATACACACAAAAAATACATCAGTCACATTCATATTAGAGTCACCCAGTACTTTCCTTACTGGCTTTTCTTTGGTGGCTAAACCAGAAATATAAAGTAATCAAACACCAACTGCTTCTCCTGTGGGGTCACAGTATACATTACTGCAAAACAGTTTAGTATTTTCTCCAACTGTAGGAGCAAAAGTAAGAGCACTAATTAATCACAAACATCAGAGTTGGCAAAGACAGTTGGCTTATAGTTTGACAAAAACAATTTTAAGAAATTATATTAGTAATGGTTAAAATATGTTATAATATAAAAAAGTTAAAAATAGATCCTAAACTCTTTCTAAACTTTTCTAAAGGCTAATTTATTCAAACTTATGTTAAAACATACCTCAAAATAAAAACAATGTTGCTCAAAATACTGCAGAAAATATTAAAAGGGGAAAGTGGAAGATGATTCACAAACTTAAAAACTACATGACAAATGCAGTACTAGTGGAAAAGGAATAATTTGTTTGCAAACTTAGTCAAACCAATGAGAACTTGCATATTAGTATTAATGTAACTTAAGTAAAAAAACAGAGTTGTAGCATTAACCAAAATAAATGTAAAATATAAGTATTTATATAAATAAAATCTAAAATACTAAAAGTTAAGGAAGTAATTAAAGGTTAGCCTGCAGCCGTTAAGATAACTTAAATAATCCATAAATCACAGGACAAAGGTACAGCTGCTGTAGTACAGTTCATCGTCTCCAAAGAATGAACAAGCTGTGGATCAGGTTTTTTAAGAGATGTTTAAACCTTAAATTAACTTAAGTCACTGTAAACACTGTCCATCCTGGTGGTGGAACACGACAATACAATTAAAATAAGGGTTTGTTAATAATTATTTTAGTTTGTCTCTTGTTACTGAACTACAGCTAGTTTTATATGTTTTATAGTTTTTGTGTATCATAAAAGATGTGAAATGTACTGAAACCAAACATGTTGGTGTTTAACTTTTCAAAGCCACACTTGTATTTAAGGCAAACGTCCAGGTTGCCTGTTGTGAGGAACGAAGGACTCAGGTGGTGATGCTGACAGATCTCTACTAAACTCCCTAAACTCCCACTCTCCCCTCCCTTCACCCCCCTGTTCACAGTGAACCCAATGTGCTAGATGAGTCCCAGGGTCTTCTGCAGGAGGGTAACCTCTCTAGGTACAGTGGTCCTCTGTGTGTCTTTGTCCAATCGGTGCATTTTTTTTGTTTTTGTTTTAATGCATCTGTTCGCCACTGGGAGGGCCATTGCCTCGCGACGGCCGCCCTCTGGTGGCCACTGTTCGCCGTTGATCACCCATTCACATCCAATCCGATCAGCTTGGCCCGCGTCACCTCTGTACCTCACTGTCTGTGACTTCAGTGTCGTTTCTGTCCTTTTTTTATCTCCACAAACACTGACCCTCATTTCTCCAGCTCATCTCAGCTGCCGTGCTTGTCCTAACCTGGCTCCTCTGCAACAGGAGAGACAAAAAATGTACCAAAACGAGGGAGCCCAACCATCCCTGAGGGGGGGCGGGGCCAGGGAGCCATGTCACTTTTTCTGTGGTGGTAGTTGTGGGTCTTGACTGTTGATGTGCCATCACTAAAGTCAGCCTCTCATTGGTTATTAGTGTTTCATACCGTTTTCTGGTGTTTCTCAGGCTTCCCACTGAGCAAATTGGGTGTCTGTCTCTAGATACCAATCTGTAGGGGGCAACGGGGAACTGGGGTGGCAACAGTTACACAGGAGCACTGTTTATTGTACTTGTCCTGGTCACACTTTAAATTCCTGAAATGTAGGTCAAATACCAATAGACCCAGGGTTCTTTAGCTAGTTGCTGCTCCGTCCTCTTCTCCCCCTGGTATGTTCTCAGTGTTCAACTCATGGCAGCACTGTGTCAGTGTTTTCTGCACTGTGATTGGATGTGTACAGTACACATGACTGTACTGTATGTCTTGTCCCGTCAGTGTGGTTAGCGTAGCAGTGAATATCATGTGGTCAGTGGAGAAGCCCAGCTTGGGTTCTTTGGAGCAGAGGCCCGGTGAAGTCTTCCTTCTGATGTGCCCTGTGTCTGTGTGTGTGATTGACTCCACCAGGGTGGCCAGTGTGCAGAGTGAACCGGGTCATCAGAACCTCCTCATACAACCGCCGCTGGGACGGAAACGTGGCCTCAGACAGGTAGGGACATTCTTCGTCTGTCACAAACACAATTGATGAGACCATTAGAACAATTCTTTAACAACATTTACAATGTTTACCATTACAAAAAAAAATAATTTTATTTGAAACGTGAACAAACATATTCTAAAGAAAAACAACTGCACTGCTGACAAGCCACGGCTGTTAATCATCACTGCCAGTGAGTACCACCTGCACCGATAACTGTAATAATGTAATGAAGGCAGTGAGATATGCTATGGTAACTTAAGTTCTGTACTTAAGGCCTGTCTTTAACTGCTGTAAATAACAGACATAGATAGAAACTGCTGCTAAATGCACATGTCATGGGTTTCTTTATTAAAAATCATTATCATTAAAAACATAAAACAAAATGTACCTGTGACCTTCCTTTAGCTTCGTCGCCCTCTGCTGTCTATTCCGAAGAGTGAACCACGTGATCGCTCAGGTGCACGGCTCTCTACGACCCGCAGAAGCATCCAACCCAAGAACAAACCCATGGGTAACGTCACACGTGTGGTTGATTGTGAGAGGCTTTAAAAAAAAAAAATTAGAAAAAAGAGTCAAAAACTAACACATTGAAACCCAACACTTCAGATCCAGTGCCCAGACAGACCAAAAGTGTAGACTGTCAGTGGAGGTCCAACTGTCTGTGTGCTGGGCTGAAGTGTAGCCTCGTCCTCATCCACCAGTCTTTGTTCCAGTCTTTGTTGAACCACCTGTCCGTCACCAACTGACTTTTCTCACTCTGTTCTGTCTCATGCCTTATGTTGCAAAATAAAGAAACTTTGTTGGACTGTGAAGGTGAGACACTAGATTTACCCCTTCCTCCTCCTACCCTGACACCACTCACCCTCCTCCTCTCTGCAACCTCCAAAGGATGCTCTGCATGTCTGTCTTGCATAACTCCCCCCAGCTAGATCCCCTGTCCCATCCCTGCCTCCACTCTCCTGTAGTGGTGCTGTTGTGATAGCTGGCCACTGGATGGCACTCTTTTCTACCATTACTGACCGCTTCACCTGTGTCCACAGCACATGGAGACCAAAAGAGATCAGTCACTTTCACCGAGGCGTCTGGAGGAACGGGCAAACCCCAGACTCCCAGCACCAGTGACCCCCTGGCTGAGGGCAGGAAGACCAGTCCTGCCCCGTCAAAGTCACCCACCCTGGAAGTGCCCCCAGCCTCCTCAGCCACCGTCACGGCAGACCTGCACAGTCCTGCAAACACACAAGTAAGACGTCTGTGAAGATTCTCATTCATCCATGTCATGTTATCCATAGAGTTCAGTTGTAAACAACTGGACTTTTTCTTTTGAAAGATGTTTTGTTAAGTTTATTTTGTTTTCTCTCCTCTCCATCTTGAGTCAAACATTTGGAAAATTCATATTTTACATTATTGGGACCAATGTAATGTTTTTTTTTTTTTTAAATCACCTTCTTCTTCTGTTCAGCGGTCTGACCAACACTTTGCTGTTTTAGCTCTTTAGCTTTTAGCTTTCCCACAGCTGTGTGTGACTCCAGTCAATTCAAGGTGCATATGATTGTTTTTCTCCAGGTTTCTTCAACTCTCTGTACTAAGGACAAGAGGGAACAGTGGGGGTTCCGCAGCAGCCTCTCCCCTCCTCCCTCGACCTCCCGCCCCTCCACCCCAACGCCCCCACCCCACCCTTGCTCCCCTACTCCGTTGTCACGAACCTGCTCTCCACTTTCTCTTTCCCGCACCTCTTCTCCACTCCCTCCTCCGCTTCCTGTATTGGGTACTACCCCTGCCCCAGGACCCCCGCCCCCTCCCCCACTCCCTCCGACCCCACTTCTCCCTCCTCCTCCTCCTGGCCCATCTAGAATCAGAGAGAGCCCGGGGGACGAGGACACAACCGCACTGCTGCCTCGCTGCACCACCCTGCTGCAGCTGAGTGAGGACGCAGGCACAGAGAACCCACTCCTCACCCCTCTGTTGTCCTGCCCCTCACCCCGACTGTCGCCCCTTCCCCTGTCTCCAGTAGACCTTGACCTAGATGAGTCCCATGTGTGAGACCGAATTTATTTCTGACCTTTAAAAATGTGTCACAACATTAGCTTTTATTGCACATTTAAACAGAGAGTTAAATCATCACCACCCTCATCATCATCATCCTACATAAGCTACTGTTGAATGTATACTGGTCATCCTATTCCACATCACAATTCAACGCCAATGCTGAAAAAATATTTATTTTTTATCTCAAAGTAAAAGTGATTCAAATTTAAATATTATTTTTAATTAATTATTATATGAAAGAGTCTATATGTTAAATCTTTATCAACTTAAACAAGAGTAGTGTGAGGAGGAAATAAGGAGCCATCTCAAGGAAAGACCGTTACAGAATGATAGTATATGAATGAGATTATTATGGAGAAGAAAAGACAATATTTAAAAAGAATTATTGATTTTAGCATTCACAGAAGTTATGTATAAAGAGATTTGTGGGTCTTGATGTTGTAGTGTCTGTAATTTTGTTTTGTGTGTAACTATGGTACAGACACTGGACATTTTATGACTTAGATCTGTGCTGTTCAGAGTTTTTTTATAAGTAAACAGGGGTTCAAATTCAAGTTAAAATTCACACTAAGGAAGAAAAAAAAATCCACCAAATGTTTTTTGAGCATTTAATGCATTTAATTACGAAAACAATTATCTACTATCATCCAAATGTTCATAATCATTCACAGATTTAATTTTTTTGCTGTTAGCAGCAAAAAAATAAAAAACCTGACCTGAAGTGAGAGTAAAAACTTTGTTCCTTGTGTTTGAACTTGTATTTTACACATTACATCTATATAGAGGCATCATTTAAACTCCATAGTATTTAACATTTATACTAATCAGTCAAACTTTACATTTCAATGTCTCCTAGATTGTTGAAAAGGCCTTTAAAGTGAGTGTTATTTTTCTCTATTTTGTCTCTTGTTCTATGTCTAATTGTATTATTCTATAAATATATTATAGTCTGCAGGGGGTTTTTTCTTTGTAAACTTAGCTGCTCAGTTCCTCTACAGATTTTCTTGTGACCAAAGAACTTTGCCATGCTGTCTTTTAGTTGTGTTAAATGCTGTGGAAACATAGGTTTTGAATAGTATTTCTAAAGTCTAAAAAAACAGCAACAAAACTCTCACCTGTCCTGCTGCAATGTCGTCCTAATTTGTTTTGTCTGCACTGTTAAAGTGCATAGACATGTAATTTTCTTCTATCTTAACATATAGTTTTGTACAGTCCTGTGTATTTTACAGAAGATGTGCCATAATTTACAATAAGATGTGCCATAATCGAAACCAATGCACTGTGTTTCCTTTAAAGCAGCTTCTGTGTTCATTTATTCTATCTTAGAGCATCTATTTAAATGTGTCACTTAATAAATGTTTCAATTATTCTTGATTTAAGTGTGTGTATTGTAAACCAAATATGTTTAATGCACAAAATTCATCACATATAACTGCATCTGTTTTGGGAGGGCGGGGGGGAGGTAAAAGGGGAAAATGGAGAGAATTGCCTTGACCAGAAATGTCTTAACCTTGAAAAAAACAAATCTTGAAAATAACTTAAAAATGCCAAAGTTTCATAACAACCTTGGCTTTTTTATCATTCAAGCATTGCAGCAGCGACACACTTGTGCTCAGGCTACGATATTCCACTGGAAGCCATTTAGAAGGCAAAAAAAAAAAAAGTATCATGTTTTTTTCCAAATTTATCTGAAAATTTCAATTACTAAAAACAATCTCAAACTGCTCTAATTTGATGAGGTGTATGCTGACAAAATCGTATATATAATTATATAAATAAAAAAAACAAACAAGTATGCTGAAAAAAATCACCTTAATTTTTCATCATCTGACCAAAAATGACAATTTATTATGGTGAAAAATTCAAATAAAAAAAAAATTCAAAAATGTTCTCAAAATGCTTTAATTTGATAAGAAACATGTAGAATAAACATTTTAAATAAAACTTTTCATCATAATTTCTCAACAGCTGATGAAAGATGACATGCTAAGTGAGAATTATGCTTTTAATTCTCAAAATGGTCTAATATGATAAGTTGCAGGGAAAAAAGGTTAAAATATTTTATATGAATATTTCAAA